GAGGAGAGGAGAGGAGAGGAGAGGAGAGACAAGAGGGGAGGAGAGACAAGAGGACCGGTAAATGTATTTGTTAATCCTAGCATCTGGTTGACTGTTTTACGTACCGAGGAAGGGGATGGTAGAGGTCATAGGGCATGATCTGCTTGTATCCATCACTGTTAGGAACAATAATGCCAACCCTCTGAGTAGAAGGTACACATAACAAAATAAACACTAAATGATTACATTATACAACTTTTTTACACAATATTACAAAAAAACCCCAACCAAACAAGATCTTTTACCTAAGTTGCTTTCACATTTAAAAGAAAACTTATGCTCCAATCCTGCTGTTTCTGAGTCAGTCAAAGAATAAACCATTGATTACTACTTTATTCTTATGAATATATTACTGTTTGACTAAGAAGCAATCCATTACCACAAGGGATCCAAATGCATTGTCCAAATACTATTTAGTTACTACTTGCCATTAAAAAAAATAAATCTACACTTAATACTTTCTTGGAGCTTGGATCCAAAGACACTGAAGACAACAGGGGAGCTTCTATCTGCTTCAGAGACCTCTAAATCAACCCCCCATTCAAACTACTATATGGTTGTTTCTGCCCTTCCGATAAAACATCTGCTTTTACAAGGGCCGATGTTAGAAATTCGGGGAGTCCCAGTGCAAGAATTCAAATCTGCATTTTTTGTCTCTCCACCTTACATCAATCCAATTTTATTCATCTTCAGAACCTGCCTCTTTATTTGGGTTTTTCTGGAAGAAAGAAGGAGCTGGAGACTTGTCACATTGTTTTTTTGTTTATTTGGTTGGTTTTGGTATTGTCATGACTGGTGTTATTGGTATAATACCTAAAAAAATACAACATCTAAAAGTTATAGAAAGCAGTAGTGTAGAGCAAAATTATTAATTATCTGAATTGTTATCATGCCAATTATCTGTGAGATGGATGTCATTTGGCTTGTTGGCAACTACAAGATCTCACTGAATTGCTAATTTGGAATTTCATCTTTTGTCTGCACTTTTCATAGATTCTGACTCAGAGTAACTCTACCCATGCTGTCTCCCGATTATCAACTGTATCTATTAACGTCAAATAAACGACGCCACAGCACCTCATCTATCAGCTTCATCAAAGTCACCATGCAACAGGGGGCTTGGATGGGGCAGGTGGGCAGAACCATGAAAGAATGCATTAAAGTAAAAAGTGTTTCCCTACCCAAGTTACAGAGAGATGAAACTGATTGAAAAGAATGAAGGTGGTTTTTGAGAGCCTTATACAGATGAGAAATGCTAGGTATGCTACTATGGATTTCTGCAAGGAGGAAGAAGCAAAGCAGGGGGAAGGGAGAAAATATTCTCCATCCTCAACAAGTTCACTGAAAACTGCTATAAGCATTCAAAGGAGTCTTGTCATGCTAAGGGTAAAAGGGTTTATTCTTCTTTCAGTCAACAGGGTTTTTGTGTGCATAACTCGTCCACGATAGGAGAATGGATCCCATTGTGTTTTCACAGCGAGGAGTCAACGCCAGGTCAGCATGCTGGAATTTTCCAGCTAAGGCGCGGGAAGATGTTAGAGCCCTGGGAGTGTGTGATGGGGACTACACAGCTGCCTCTAAGATTAGCAGCCTCTGCAGTCACAGGAGCCCTCTGCATGAGTCTGCATATTTGCATCTTCAGAGAGCTGCCTGTCTCCACAAAAATCTAAAAATGTAGGAGAGGCAGTTCTGGCATTGGCAAACTTTGGAAACGACAAATAGATCATTTAGAGTATGGCCAATGAACAAGTCTTTTCAGACTTAGCTTGATGGGTAAAGGCCTGGAGAAGTTTGAGAAACTGTGTACTAGTATTTTAAGAAGATGGAAGGGACTTTTTTCGGAGTTTTTTTTGCTTTTCCTTTTGTGAATTTCTGCTGTTTTCCTTACTCTTCTACCACTGCTGCTGAAGTTCCACTCGGAACTTTTTCAGCAAAAGGCTTTTGCACTTTTCAGCTCATCAGGTTGCTGAGGAGTGGTTGGAAAAAAAGATTAATATACAAAATTCAGAAATGAAATAATTATACTGTAAAAGTATCTACTGCCTAAGAAAGAAACAGATTTCAAAACATTTCTCACTCATTGCAAACTCATTAGTTTTCTTTCTAATAAACATCGTCTGTATGCATAATCTATGACTCCATGCATTAGTATGCATAATATCCAAGGCCATTCCAATGGAAATAACCGTACCCCATCCAAACACTGTTATGAAGATTAAATAACATTTACAAAGCACTAGATTAATATTGTCATTGGAAAGGTTTGACCCTCAAAGAATTTTGCATAGATAAATTGCATTTCTTTATATATATCTCTCTGGTATAGAGCTCCACAGAATTACTGACACTGTCCTTGTTGTATATGTGAGGGGCTGCAAAAGACTCTCATTCTGTTACTGCAAGATAATGATCCCCAGAAGTGTAAGTCCCATGATCACAGTGAGGAAAAAGACTTAAAATAATACACTCTTGCTTAATTTATGACTTCAAAAATTGTCTTGAAGATAACAGAATCATTAAGGTTGGAAAGGACCTTCGAGATCATCAAGTCCAACCATTAACCAAACGCCACGATGACCCCTAAACCATGTCCTGAAGCACCACATCCACACATTTTTTGAATACTTCCAGAGATGGTGCCTCCATCATCTCCCTGGGCAGCCTGTTCCAATGCTTGACCATTCTCTCAGTAAAGAAATTTTTCCTAATATCCAATCTAAACCTCCCCTGTCACAACTTGCAGCCATTTTCTCTCGCCCTATCAGTAGTTACCTGGGAGAAGAGATCAACACCCAC